TCAAGTTCTGTATTCAGGGCCAGCAGTGGGTTTTGGCAGCCTTGGTCTGATCTTGCAGCAGGTCCTGTTGCCCTGTCACTGCTGTGGTCACTGACTTGCATTAGCTCCCATTCATGCAGCATCTTAACTTTCAAATTCACACCTTTGTTTTCAAATCCCTCCATGTCTTTTTCCACCATGTATCTCTCTATTCTCTTCCAGCTGTCTGACAAATCTTTTATTCCTCTAATTCTGACCTGATGTGCATTGCTCCACCATCGGTGGCTGTGTCTCCGGTTGTTAGGCTTCGGAATATCTTCCCTACACCTCTCCCCCTCTCTTTCCTCCTTTAAGACACTCCCTAAAACCCACCTCTGACTATTATCTCCTTATCTGGCTTGGTTTTATGCTTTGCGTTAGATGTTTCTTTAAAGCGCTTTGGGACATTGAGGTTAATTAAAGGAGGTGTACAAATGTATGTTGTTGTTGTGTTATTATTGATGGAACTTGAACCTCCTGACCCAGAGGCAACAGTGCTGGCAACAGCTGAAACAAATGTGTCGATGGGTGAATGAGACTTTGAGTTGATCGCTGGTGTATTTGTGTGTTGTACCTCATTGGGGTAGGCTGAAGGTTTGTGGCTAGGAGCAGCAGTTCCGGTCTCACTCAGTTTACCAATAGAAAGGGTTAGAGACATTTCCAACTGCACGGATTTTTAAAAAAAAAGTTCAAAAACACTTCAGAAGTTGTCCATTGGCTGTGAGGTGCTTTTGGGAGTACCTGAGTGTGTGCAAGATGCTGTATCACAGCAAATCTGGCTTTTTCATTACCCTTCCTGTGGCTTTCTACTTTTTACAAGATCGCATTCTATGCTGTAATTAGAACTTACCGTTTCCTGGTTGAATTTATTTTTGTTTTTGTCCGTGCTTACTCTTGGCAAATCTCTGAATCCATGCTATTCGTTCAGCTTCCCAGGACAGCACAGTTTAAAATTGTCCCACATTGCTGTCCAGCAAGTACCCTCAGCTGTTCAGTCTCCTGCTGGCAAAGCTAGAAAAGGTAAAGGTGCCACACTGGTTCATGTCTTGCCACTGTTGTTTAAGGCGAGAATTGCATCTGTAACTGTTTAAACAGTTGGTGAACACTTTTCCCTGCAATCAGTGACCGTCCCTTGTGAAGCGCCAGCCAATGCTCAATGGGTAGCACTGTTGCCTCAGTGATGACGTTCTGTGTTCATGCCCCACTCCAGCCTGTGCTGCAGCACAGTACCAGGGGTGTGCAGTGCTGTTGGCAGTGCCATCTTTCAGATGGAGTTTAAACCAAAGCTCGAGCTGCCTGCTCGGGTGGATGTAAAAGGTCCCGCAGCAGTATGTTGTAGTAAACAGCAAGGGAGCTGTTCCCAATGTTTTGGTAAATAGTTACCCCTCAGTCAACATCACAGAATAACACATTATTTGTTCATAAATGACATTGCTCTTTTATTGGGACGTTACTGAAAGAAATTGGCTGCCATGTTGCCTACATTACAGCAGTGGCTATATTTTGAAAGTGCTTTTGAGACATTTAGCAGTTGTGAAAGGTGCTATCTAAATGCAAGTCTTTTTATTTCAAATGAAAATCTCTTAAAGGATCCCGGGAGTTTTCATTTTAAAATGCTGCCTCTTGTAGAATTTTTACTCGATGAAGAAAATCATGACATTTTGAGAGTTTCTCCCAACTGAAGGTGTGATTTGTAAATCCCATCCCAATGGGGAAGTTGAACAGACACAATAAAAACCGAAAGAAGCGCAGATGCTGTAAATCGGGAACAAAGACAGAAATTGCTGGAAAAACTCAGCAGGCCTGGCAGCATCTGTGAATTAAAAAATCAGAGTTAGCATTTCGGGCCCAGTGACCGTTCCTCGGAACACCTGAACAGACAAGTTTAGATTTAATGACAGTATTTTGCACAGGAAGTGGGGACTAAACACAACAGGTCCTCCAGCTAGGAACTGGGATCAGATGGAATCAGCAAAGAGATACATGGATAAATATATGATGGAGTGAGTGATTTAAGGAATGTTGGAGATAGTAATGGACGTGATGTTTTTCTGAACTTGCTTCTGGATAATCAGGCTCTGCAAAGGTCTCTTGCACCTTCCACATGCTTGAAACATCAGAACCTCAGGACATTCCAAAGGACTTTGCAGTACTTGTACAAAATGTCCTCACCATTTTAATGTACGCAGACACAGCAGCCAATGTAGGGATAACAAGCTTCTCCAATCTGCAGTGGGATCAGCAACCAGATCTCATGTTTGAATCACATTGACTGAGGGATAAATACTGGTCAGGTCATCTGGGAAAACCCCTCTCTGATCTTTTTTTCAAAAATGTCATCAGAACCTTTACATTCCCCCACTCCACCAGATTTCAAGAGGGCTAGAGTGCAAGAGTAGAGGTGTATGTTGAGGCCGTATAGTGGCTCTGGTTAGACCACGATTGGAATATTGTGAGCAGTTTTGGGCTCTGTATCTAAGGAAGGATGTGCTGGTGTTGGAGGGGTTCCAGAGGAGGTTTACAGGAATGATCCCAGGGATGAAAGGTTTGTCATATGAGGACTGGTTTGATGATTCTGCTTCTGCACTTGATAGAGTTTAAAAGGATGAGTGGGGGGGATCTCATTGAAACTTACAGAATACTGAGAGATCCAGCTAGAATGGATGTGGAGAAGATGTTTCCATTAGTAGGAGAGACTAGGACGCAAGGGCACAACATCAGAATGAAGGGATGAGCCTTTAGAACTGAGATGAGGAGCAATTTCTTCAGCCAGAAGGTGGTGAATCTGTGGAACTCATTGTTGCAGAGGGCTGTGGAGGCTAAGTGATTGAATGTCTTTTAGACTGAGGTACAGTGGATAGGTTCTTGATTAGTGATGGGATTGAGGGTTATGGGGAGCAGGCAGGAGATGGGGGTTGAGAAATGTATCAGCCATGATCGATTGACAAAGCAGGCTGAATGGGCTGAATGGCCTAATTTTTGCTGCAATATCTTATCTTTTTGGTCTTATGGACAATAGGTCCTTATGTGGCTCAGATTCCACCTACACTGGAGGTTCTGTGGGCTTACAGCTGTTGGACAGCTTTTTCAACCTCATGGCAGTCTGGAGGTGTGCTGAGACCGTGATGGGGAGTCTGTTGTTGGATGGTGTTTAGAGCAGTTATGGCAAAGACTGTGTTATGGTGGCGAGATCCTCAAAGTGCTCCCTTCAGAGATGTTGACTGCCTCTCGGTTTTTGATGAGTGACTGTCCGTTTCTGGCTCTCATTGGCGCTTGGACCATAGAAAAGGCTGAAGAAGCCGTGCACATTGTGGTTATCGGCGAGTTGCCAGGAGTCCTGAGCTCTCTGTAATCGCCATCTATTCTTCAGGTCACAAGCCACGTGTGGCACCTCGGCCTACAGTTGGGTTCGTTTCCTCTCGCTCAAGTTTTGGGGGAGAAGCCAGTTCAGGAACACCTCACATTTGCAGTCGAGGAGATCCTGGATCTGCTGGTTGTTCACGTTGAAACAGTCTTGATGTCTCCCAGTCTAGAGACTGCATTGAGGTGCTGACTAGGGTGAACCAGGAGCTGTGGGCATCTTGTGGCTCTGGCACATTGGCTGATGCCAGGCTAGCTGATGAGATGTCACCTGAGCAGGTGATCCTCAAAGTGGCTTGTCTCTTTCTCCTCAGGGTCTTTCAGTCCAGCAACATTGATTCTCCTTTTCGCTGCCTCTGCCAGTTTGGGTCCAGCTTGATGCAGATAGTGGAGAGAATCAGTCGGTCCAGCAGTCGTTGGCTCTGGTCATGGGGGACGTCTTTATGGTCCTTCCCTCGTCTGATGAATGGGGTGTTGCTGTGAGGCCTTGTGCTTGTCCGTTGGGCCTTTGTTATGGTGAGATCACATTCTCACACTTTGTCAGGAGAACACCTTTGAAGTTTGTTTTCCCCTTGCTTTCCTTGCCTGATGGTCACAGGAATGGAATTTCATTATGTTACAGGTGCCATGTCAACACGTTGTTGTGGGAGGTGAGAGTCCAAAGTGATATTTATTTTTGTGTTTTTTTCAATCTGGTTTCCAATGGTAAAAGGCCAGAGCACAATTGGTGGGGATCCAGAGGAGGTTTACAAGAAGGATCCTGGGGATGAAGGACTTGAGGAGCAGTTGAGGACTCTGGGACTGTACTTGATGGAGTTTAGAAGGATGGAAGGGGGGATCTGATTGAAGCTTACAGAATACTGAGAGGCCTGGATAGAGTGCATGTGGGGAAGATGTTTCCACTGGTCGGACCCAAGGACCCCACCTCAGAAGGAAGGAACAACCCTTTCGAACTGAGATGAGGAGGAATTTCTTCAGCCAGAGAGTGGTGAATCTGTGGAACTCATTGCTGCAGAGGGCTGTAGAGGCCAAGTCATTGAGTGTTTTTAAAACCGAGATAGAGAGGTTCTCAATTAAGAAAGGGTATCAAAGGTTATGGGGGGAAGGCAGGACATAGGGTTGAGAAATATATCAGCCATGATTGGATAGTGGAGCGGACTTGATGGGCTGAATGGCCTAATTCTGCTCCTGTATCTTATGGTCTATGATCTGCTGACAGTAAGTGGAGACATGGTCACAGTTCAAGGATATTTGGGACTGACAGTAGGAGAAATGACTTCAGCCAGAGAGTGGTGAGTCTGTGGAATTCTCTACCACAGAACGTGGTCGAGGTCAGAACATTGAATGTTTTCAAGAAGGAGTTAGATCTAGTTCTTAGAGCTAAAGAGATCAAAGGGCATGGGGAGAAAGTGGGAGCAGGGAGTAGGATGATCGGCCACGATCATATTGAATGGTGGAGCAGGCTTGATGGGCTGAATGGCCTACTCCTGTTCCTATTCCTTTCTATGTTTCTCAGGGCCTGGGTAGGCCTTGAACCTTGTGCCCAAGAAGCGAAGGAGTGGGCTTTTTCCTTTATCCACCCAGAGGCCTGTCAATTGATTCTGTTTTTTTTTCTTTTTCAGGGTCTTTGAGGTGGAGAAAAGGGGGCTATGACGACCTCACAGCCCTCCACCCTGGGTGAGCTGCAGCTCTACAGGGTCCTGCAACGGGCAAATCTTCTCATGTACTACGATGCTTTCATCCAGCAAGGTGGGGATGACGTCCAGCAGCTGTGCGATGCTGCGGAGGAGGAATTTCTGGAGATCATGGCCCTGGTGGGTATGTCGAGTAAGCCGCTCCACGTCCGCCGCCTTCAGAAGGCTCTACAGGAGTGGATCACCAACCCCACCGCCTTCAACCAGCCCCTCACAAAGCTGCCAGCGAGCAGCATCCCCATCGCCAAGATCTCGGAACTCAACACAGCGACCAGCAGCCCCAACTCCGCCGGCACAGCCCAGGGCCTGGTCTCGGGGCAGGAGGTCACCAACAACCATGCCGGGTCACGGGAGACCTCGTCTCAGACAGAGGTGGCGGCGGCGGCTGGCGGTGGCGGCGGGCACCCCATGCCCAGCATCTCCCACGTGATGACGGTGCCCAAGGAGGAGCCCCACTCGCCTCCCAAGGATGGCGGACCCTCGCTGCCCCTGACTCCGGACGTGGTGCAGATCATCGGGGCCTGCGCCGAGCGGCTCATCCACACCGTGCCCAGGATGGAGCCCAAGGAGCTCGAGTGCATCTTCATCAGCAACAAGAAGATGGCCAAGTCACTGGGCCACATCTTCGAGATGAGCGAACAGGAGCCCCAACGGGAGGAGGAGATCCGCAAATTCAGCGCCATCTATGGGCGGTTCGACTCCAAACGCAAAGACGGGAAGAATCTGACGTTGCACGAGGTACAATTGTAATAAAAAATAGAATGGTTTACAGTACAGTAGGATTAGACATGATCTTATTGAAGGTGGGGGAGCAGGCTCAAGGGGCTGAATGGCCTACTCCTTTTCCTTGTTCACACTGGGGGCATTCGACTCTGCCCTACAGCCAGAAAAAATTGCCAGAAAACAATTCCCATCAAGAGCAATGGTAATTTGTTTTTCACGGCGATGTGAATGTTACTGGCCAGGCCAGCATTTATTACCCAGCCCTAATTGCCCAGAGGGCAGTTAGGGATCATCCACATTGCTCAGGGTGTGGAGTCACATGTAGGCCAGACCAGGTCAGGATGGCAGTTTCCTTCTCCAAAGGGGCATTCATAAACTGGATGAGTTTTTTTCTGATAATCGACAACAGTTCCAACTCTTAATTCAAGTTCCACCATCTGTCACAGAGTCATATAGTCATGCAGCACAGAAACAGACCTTTCGGTCCAACCAGTCCATGCTGACCATAATTCCAAACTAAACCAGTCCCACCTGCCTGCGCTTGGCCCATATCCCTCCAAACATTTCTTATTCATGTACCTATCCCAATGTCTTTTAAATGTTGTACCTGTATCCACATCCACCACTTCCTCTGGAAGTTCATTCCACACACATACCACTCTTTGTGTACAAAATTTGTGTACAAAAAAAGTTGCCCCTCATATCCTTTTTAAATCTTTCTCCTCACCTTAAAAATATGCCCCCTAGTGTAGAAATCCCCCAACCTTGGGAAAAGACAAGGGCCATTCTATACCCTCATGATTTTATAAACCTCTATAAGGTCACCCCTCAACCTCCTACGGTCCAGTAAAAAAGACCCAGCCTCTCCTGGTGGGTTTCAAACCTGGCTCCCCAGCACATTACCTGGGTCTCTAGGTTAATAAGTCTAGCAATAATACCATTGCCTCCAATTATCTGTTTCCTTTCTGAAAGCCCTGATTGTATTTGGCCTCTTCTGTTGCCTCAGGCTATGCATCCCAGATCCTGTCTACTTTATCATATTAGATTAGATTCCCTACAGTGTGGAAACAGGCCCTTCGGCCCAACAAGTCCACACCAACCCACAGAGCATCCCACCCAGACCCATCTCCCTAAATTTACACACCCCTGAACACTACGGGCAATTTTGCGTGGCCAATCCAATTAGCATGCACATCTTTGGACTGTGGGAGGAAACCAGAGCACCCGGAGGAAACCCACGCAGACAGAGGGAGAATGTGCAAACTCAACACAGACAGTCGTCTGAGGGTGGAATCGAACCTGAGTCTCTGGCGCTGTGAGACAGCAGTGCTAACCACTGAGCCACCGTGCTGCCCCGTTGTTGTGGCATGCTGCCTCTTGGCAAGACTGTCTAGTCACTGAATAAATTTAAGTAAGAAATCACAAGATTTTTAGAAGCGAAAGCTGTTATAAGGTATGGCATGAGGTGTATGGCATTGAGATTAAGAGGCATCTCTGATCATTATGAATGCCAAAGTGGGTTCATTGGGCCAAATAGCTTACCCCTGCTCCTATTTTCTATTCTTTTCAAATAAGTGCCTTCTGTTTCGCCATCAATGGAGACAGTTTCTCCCTCTCTGCTCTGCTCAGACTCCTCGTGATTTCGAAGACCTCCATCAAATCTCTCCTCTGCCTTCTCTTCTCCACATGGAGACCAGTCCCAGATTCTCTGTGTGACTGGCTGATTGATTGTGGCCTTTCTCCTCCAGATATTTTCTAACCAGCCTGTTCAGAGATGTTATTGCGCACTCCTCTGGAGCAGGTGGAGACCTGAACCTGGACCTTCTGGCTCAGGCATAGGGACACTACCACTGCTCCGCAAGCACCCAAAAAGATCATGGCCTTTCTCCTCTAAATTGTGCCCTCTTTTCGATTGCGGCTGCGTGGGAAACCTGCAGATAGAAACATGTAGCAATGTGTTGGATCTGTCACTTCAGTAAACTCAGAGAAGATATTTTCTAATTAACCTGTTCAGAAACATTACTACAGTCCTCTGGAGCAGGTGAGACTTGAGCCCTGGCTCAGAGGTAGGGACACTACTACTGCGCCACAAGAGCCCCGTTTGGGTCTGTTTTGTTTTTAAAAGGTGCAATATTCAGGGAACAGACTTTATTTCTATTAATCCGTGTCACACCTCTGCAGCAGGTGAGACTTGAACCCAGATCTCCTGGCTGAAAGGTATGGACACTACCACTGCACAATGAGAGTTTAAACTCAGTGAGACGTGTTATGAGGGCCGTGTGACATCTAGGGATGGTGTGCCCATGTGTCACAGTCATCACGTTGAGGGTTAAAGCTGCAGTGGGTTTACAGGAAGCTTTGAGGCAACAGCATTGTCTTAATTTACTTCAAAGAATTGTTTCTAAGCGATGGTTTTCTTCCCCTCACCTCACATCACTGGGGATCCTGAACGCACCACACAGAAAGATGCTCCTCGAGTGTGAGACTGGTACCTGACCTTTTCTGCTTCTAAGCTGTCGCAAGGAAGGAGATGTAAGAACAGTGTACAACTTTCACCCTCCAGATCGTCAGCATATGTTTTCAAATCCAGTCTCCGAATGGGAGAGACAGTGAGTAAAATCAGACTGGTCGATATTGGACAAGGAATCACAGAGGGTCCCTACACAGTCTGCAGCCCAGATCATGCTAAATGCGATGAGTAATAGGCTCCATTTCTGCCTATCTCTGGTCTGTATTCACTGCCCAGGTTTGTAATAACTTCTTCCCTTTCCTTTTTAAAATCTTATTTTTACTTCACCCCTCCCCGCAGCAAGTAATGCTTCCCCTCGTCCAGATTTTGGTCCATTGTCTGCGTGGCTGTTTCTCGTGTCAGGGCTTAAATGGTGGATATTTGCTGACTATTCACCCAGGGAAGCCGGCGCAGACTGGGCCGAGCTTGCTTTCATGCTGAGGTCATTGGGGATTGCTGGAGGGAGGGGTGGATATGAAATATGTCTGACCTTTGACCCCCCTCTCTACCGTGGAAGTACTGAGGGAGTGAGGGCAAACTGAGCACCATCCAATTACCTCGTTCTGTACTATACACACCACAAGTGCATGCTGAATTGGCATGGATAATCATAGAATCCCTACAGCATGCCATTCAGCCCATCGAGTTCCTCTGAAGATTATCCCACTCAGACTCACCCTTTCCCTGAAACCCTGCATTTCCCGTGCTTACTCCACCTAGCCTACACATTCTTGAACACTACGGGCAATTTAGCATGGACAATCTACCTAAACTGCGCATCTTTGGATTGTGGGAGGAAACGCAAGTGATCAGAAGAAACTGGCACAGACATGGGGAGAATGTGCAAATTCCACACAGACAGTTGCCTGAGGGTGGAATTGAACCCAGGTCCCTGGCGCTATTCAGGCAGTAATTCTAACCATTGAGCCACCATGCCTCCCCACAGGGCTCGTCCTGTTAGCACTTTCTGTTTTCTGTGTTCTTTGTGCCTTAACAATTCTTAACAATTGCAGCCACGATTTTATTGGAAGGTGAAACAGATCTGAGGGGCCTAATAGCCCTAGTCCTGCTCCATTTTCATATAGATCAGCCACTGCAATCTGTATGAGCCTCATTCCTCTTGATAGCCCATCCCACAATCTGTTTTTTAAAAAAAGAACTCACTTTTTTGAGCAAAGTTTGACCTATCCAAACTTTGGAGAGCCAAACAAATGCTCCTTTTTTCTGGTTGCTTTATCAAAGGCTTTCCTTAGGAAGTTACCTTAGTTAACGCATTCCCTAATCTTTTCATTCTCTCTGTTGGGATAGAGAAGGGGGACGAAGGTCAGATATAGTTCATGAATTCAAAGTAAATGTATTTTTCACATTTATGAAGAGGTGACTGAGTGGGGTCCCAATGGCAGTGTCAGCCATAGCTTTTTGGGCAACATATGAGCGTCTGCATAAAATAAAGAATAATGTCCTAGAGAGGGTGCAGGAACAAAGAGATCCGGGTGTATTTGTGCATAAGTTATTGAAAGTGGCAGGTCATTATTAAGGATAGTATTCAGCTGGTGAGGGTACAGAAGAGATTTACCAGGATGTTGCTGGGAATAGAGGGTTTGAATTATAGGGAGAGGCTAGATAGGCTGGGACTTTTCTCACTGCAGCATAGGAGGTTTAGGGTGACCTTGTAGAAGTTTATAAAATCATGAGATAAGGTGAATGGCAGGTGTCTTTTCCTTGGGGGCGTCTGGGAAGGATTTCAAGACTGGGGGGCATATTTTTAAAGTGAGAGGAGAAAGATTTAAAAAAGACATGAAGGACAATTTTGTTTTACACAGAGAGGGGTTCATGTGTGGAATGAACTTCCAGAAGAAGTGGTGGATGCAGATACAGAGACAACATTTAAAAGACACTTGGAAAAGTACATGAATAGGAAACGTTTGGAGGGATATGTGCCAAGCACAGGCAGATGGGACTAGTTTAGTTTGGTATTAGGATCGACCTGAATTAGTTGGGTTGAAGGGTCTGTGTTTGTGCTGTATGACTCTGTGACATGTAGAAAGAGCTGTTAATAAAGGATATTGTATTCCACGTTTCACTAATAGGGACATTAGTAGAACGTGAGAGCAGGGAGGCTATCAGGAACTTATTTAGAACATTGGTTAGATCTTAGCCGGAGTATTGTGTTCAGTTCTGAGCATGTATGGGAAGGATTTGAGAGAGTGCAGAAGAGCTGTACAAAAATAGTTCCAGGGATGAGACGCTTCAGTTCTGAGAAAATATTGAAGAAGTTGGGACTGTTTCCTTGGAGAGATTTGGAGAGGTTTTCAAAATCATAAGGGTTTTGAACAGTGTGGAGAAAGAGTAATTTTTCTTACTCATAAATGAGAGGACGTAGTTTTGAAGAGTTTTGCAAAATGGGAGGTGAGCCATGGTTTTTAAAATGGAAACAATATGCAGGGTTACAGGAAAACGGCAGGAGATTGTCTAAATTAATATATTCAGAGAGCCATTGCAGTGGGCTGAATGGCCT